TGTCTTGCAACTTTTCTTCATCTTCAGTTGAAGATAGATAGCATTTAACAGGGATTGCAGTCCCCTGTTTAATGGTTAAGTTATTGGTGTCATTGCTTAACTGACCTAATGGTTCGTTTTGGACTACTTCCTCATTAGCTAGGTTGGTAAGTAAAGACTTACCTGCTTCCGGCTGGGTGGCGTCGATCGATGCTTGTTGGACGATGTCGATCGATTCTTTGCTCCACATATCGCTCGATGTAGGAGTTAAGTCATCGGTCGATGCTAGGCCGAAGTCTGTCTTTTCCATATTGAGTTCCCTGTGATAGCAGAGAAAGAGGAAAAAGAATTAAGTAAACAAAAAACAAAACCTAGACTATATTCTAAACTAAATCTAATGGTAATGAAAAAGAGTCCCCGGCAACGGCGCCATATTTGATATCACTCAAATTATCCTAAAGAGTGAATTACTCTCATCAAAAGAGGTTCAATTGTAGTACTTAGTGATCGAATCCACAGAGACTCTAGGATTACACAACAGATTATTTAGTTTTAGAAATAAAGCTAGATAGCAAATATTAAACAATAACTTAAAAGGTGAGCAGTTATTACTCAATTGATTGATTGGTTTGCTAAGAGAAAGAAGGTAGTTAGACTTAGGTGTTTTCTCAGGTATGACAAACATGCAAGTTATAAAGGGGTTTTATTATTCATAGTTCAGGATTCAAACTTTTAAGGTTTTAAACCTAAATGATTAACCTCCACTAGCCTCAGGTCAACAACTATCGTTCGATGACCATGAGAAGGTATTGATCGATGTTCGATATAATTATCGATCGATGACTCTTTGCCATATCGGTCGACAAGATGGTCATCCCGTCGATCCATATTGCTCCCAGCGAGTTCTAGTAACGGGTTTGAACGGATCTCTAGCCATCACTAAATTAACTTAGATTTTAGGTAATTGTCAAGTTCTAACTTGTCCATATTGATCCTAATATCACAGATAAGGGTGATCAATCCTTAACTTTAGCATTTATGAAGACTAGAAGAAGAACTATATTTTATACACCCTAGTAATGGTTCATTCAATGCATGAGTCAACCTTCATGAGAAACCTAAATCCTACAGGAGATACTACTCAAACATATTCATGTGAGACAAAGTCATAATGGTTTGAATAATGCTTTAAAGATATTAATGGTAAGAGAAACAGTAAAGTAATAAGTAAAGCAAAAGAGTTCAAGATCTTCTCTGGATTTGTAGTTCAGATCTCTCCCTCTCTACTCCTAAGCTCTTCTCAAAGTTTAGCTAGATGCTTCTCTCAATTTTAGGTCTCAAAAGATCTCTCTTTTTCCAGTCTGTCTAAATTAGTACAAAACCCTCATAATATAGCCTACAGGCGGCCAGGGGCTAAAAGTGTAATTATTAAAACTTTTGTGAAGCAATTAGGGCTGATAATCTTTATTTAATCGCTTTGGACGACTTCTGTATCGATCGATGTAGATTGTCTTCAGTCGATCGATATGTGTAATATCTCATCGGTCGATTGTTCTCAACGTACGTCGGTCGATAGCTTTAACATCATTTTGCTCATATCTTCATAAAGTCTCCATTTTAGCTCTATAATGGCTTGTTTACACCATTGAGTACCTAAACCTCTAAAAGCTCTAAAAAGACACTAGAAGTATCCTTTTGTTTCCAATAAACATATATAAATCGTGGTTGAAAGAGGGTAAAATCCATGACATATCAATTACTATTACTACTACTAGCTTCATTTCCTCCATAACCCTTTCCATGTTGAAACCAAATATAGTAATGTGGTGTAAAACTTCTGTATACTAAATGTTTCCACACAATTTCAGTATGGGTAAATTTTGAATTCTTGCATTTCTGACAAGGATAGAACATCTTACCACTTTCCTGCGTGAGCGGTGTACAGGCTGCCTAGTTTATGAACGTCTCTAGCCCGCTAAGAAATGCATTCGTCACTCTACCGCCATAATCTTTATGCGTATACATCCAACTCCGCAATTCAAAAATATTTCTTCCATCAGACATTTTTTTGAGTTGTTTTTGTTTTGTTTTTTGTGTGGTGGTATGAAATGAGAAATGCTCATATATATAGGAAACCCACGAATATTGGTAGGTGAAATTTTACAACGTATTTACAAGGAATTATGTACTATAATATTACATGTCCCTAACATATAGGTTACAACGATTTAAGTTAGGTCAACCACACATTAAATATGTATTCATCGTCTTCTCGAGGAAAAGCTATGAGGAGTTGATTAGAACTGTTCTGCTGACTTTCCACGCCTTTTAATTTCTTGAAAAATTGATACATAAGTCGTCGGATTTTTTTTTTCTTTCATTTTTTATGTTTTTGTTTGTGGTGTTGTTAGAATTGATTAGGAATGACATATATATATATATATATATATATGAAATTTTCGAGCTTGGTTGGTAAAGATTTAACAACGAATTTGCAAGGAAATAATTAACTTGGATTTTACAAGTCCTTTGTACATGCTTTACAACCATGTTACAACGAAATTAGTAACTTAGAAACAAGTACACTGTTGGAGCAGCTCAAGATCATGGTCTGTAACGATATTGGGGTGGACCCTAATGTTGTTACTGTCGAGTTTAGTTATGAGATGGTCAATCAGAGAGGAAATCCTCCCATTATTATCACCAATGATCGACAAGTGTCTAATTTTGTGTGCTATGTGAAGAAGGGTGCCTCTACCACCTTGTGTGTCACGTTTTCCGTTGGTGTTAAGGAACGAGTCAATATCGATTTGAATAAAGAGCCTTGTGATGAAAGTAATGTTGAGGATGACAAAGTTCATGAAAGAAATCGAACTGAATTTGTCAAACCATCGAAGGAGGCTTCTAAGAAAAGTAAGGATCATGCCGAGGAGTATGGTTCTTCAGAACCTGGTTTTGGGATAGAAAACAATGGACATAGTGAAAAGGCTGGCCGAATTTGGAGATCAGATTACGTGAAGAAGGACCAGATTTTTAGAAACAAAGCTGTTCTGAAGGCAACGATGGAAATATGGGCTATGCAGAAACACTTTGATTACATTGTTGTCAAATCCACAACAAAATGGTTGTATATACGATGTAAGGATAAGCAGTGCAAGTGGACTGTGCGTGCAAAATGTCTAGATGGGTCTACATATTTCATGATCAATAAGTGTGTGACAAATCATTCATGTGCTCCTTCAAAGAAGAGCAATTTTGGAAGAAAAACCTCAGCAAGAACGATTGGCACTCTGATACAACATCGTTTTGATGATGGCAATGATGGCCCAAGAGCAAATGAGATTATCCAGTTTATGAGAATGGAGTATAGCTGCGAGATTAGTTATTGGCACGCTTGGGAAGCTCGTGAGTATGCCATTGCTGCTGCTAGAGGTATACCAGATGAAAGTTATGCTAAAATACCAAAATATTTGCATATGATGAAAGAAGCAAATCCTAGAACGCACACTGGCTATCAAACAAAAGAGGATGGCAGATTCTTGTATCTTTTTTTTGTCGCTTGGGCAATCAGTTAGAGGATACCACAGAATAATGCGGAGGGTGATTGTTGTTGATGAAACTTTTCTGAAAAATAAATACAAAGGAGTTCTACTAGTTGATACAGCTGTAGATGGTAACTCTAATTTGTATCCCATTGCATTTGGAGTTGTTGATTCTGAGAACGACGATTCACTGGAGTGGTTCTTTAGACAGCTGAATGTTGTTATTGCTGATAGTAAAGACTTAGCTTTTGTGTCAGACAGAAACCCGTCAATTGCTAAACGCATTGCGACCGTCTACCCACAATCAACACATGGAATTTGTATCCACCACTTGTTGACCAATGTGGTTACTAATTTCAAGGCAAGGGGGTTTGACTGGATTGGTCGAGCAGGCTTCACGAGCATATGGGATCTGTGAATTTCAAGAACGCTTCACTGAACTTTTTGGTATTAGTCCTACACTCGGAAGATATCTACAGGAGGATGATGTGAGGAAATGGGCTCGTTCTGTCTTCCCTGTTGAGAGATACGACATTAGAACCACTAACGCTGCTGAGTCAATAAATTCAGTGCTCAGAATACCTAGAGAATTTCCTGTTATTCCTTTGCTAGATATCATAAGAGAGTTTCTGACCCGATGGTTCTATGAGCGTCGAATGTTTAGCTGCAAACATCTTGACCCCTTAACCGAAAAGGTGGAGAAGAAGATTGATAGGAGGATTGTGAAGGCAAGAGGATTTAGTGTTGAAAAGGTTGACGATTTCAGATCACTTGTTAAAGGAGACCAATATGATTGTTATGTTGATTTGGAGAATAGAACATGCACATGTGGAAAGTATGATATAGGAAAAATTCCTTGCAGACATGCCATTCATGCTATATATTCACGAGGTATAAACACATTCTTTTGAGACCTATATTTGTTTCGGTTTTTCGCAGATTGTAGACATGACTCGGTTTATATTTTTTGGAGGCAGGACTGGAAGTACACAGCTTTACTGATCCTCTTTACACCACTGCAACATGGAGAGCTTCCTATGCGGAATCCATTAATCCAATTTTCATTCCAGAGTCTGAATGGAATGTCCCAGATGAGTTGAGACTTGTGAATGTTTTACCACCAGATTCAAGAAAGGGTGGTGGTAGGCCAGTTAAGAGACGGTATGAATCAGCCGAAGACAAGTCTAAAGCTTCACAGCAAAAGAATAAAAAGCACAAGTGTAGTCGGTGTGGTCTCGACGGACATAAGAGAGGAACATGTGATTTACCTATTTAGTTTGCACTTTTTCGTTTTTTGTTCTCTGTTTTTTTGCTCAGACTTGAATTTGGTTCTTTGTTTTTTGGTTTTTTGACATTGGAATTTGAAAAAATGATCTTTGCAACACTTTACTGACTGAAACAAAGTCTTATTTGAATGCTCAAACATGGTCTTATTTGAATAACAAAGCAACAAAGGATCGAAAAGGTTCATGAGAACCATCATGCATAGATGAGGTACATAAAAACCATCACGAAACAGCACACAAACATAGATTTTATGACACTTAATTGCCTAATGAAGTCCATGTTCTTCTCTTGACAACTTGCAATTGCATCTTCAAGCTCTTCAATTTTACTCACATGGCGTTTCAGCAATGATTCACAAGTTGTAAGTGAACTCTGAAACATGCAATTGTAAGCGAGCAGAACGTCAAATACATCCTGGAAATCATCAATTTCTTCAACAACCGACTTATCAGTCCATTTGAACAAGTGTGTTTTGTCCTTCATGTATCACATCAAACAAGCTATTAGAAAATCACATCGAACAAACATTCTGTAATTGAAAACTGATTATACAAGGATACCTCGTCGGATCCCAATGGACAACGATGAAATAATCTCCCGGGATTTTTGAGAGTTTTCGACGTCAAGAGATCCACTTTCTCACCGCAATTACATTTTGTTGGGATTCCATGTTGTTTGGTGATTCGATCTCTTGAGTTGGACGACGATAAACACGAAGACATGGCTGTGTCGATCTCCAACTCTTCGCCGTATGATCTCTCTTGTCGTGAAAGAATGAGGAAGAAGATGGGATTAGGTCTAAAAAAATTTCAATACGACGTCGTTCTCGTAAAGTTAGAACACATATTCTACCTAAGGCAGATCAACGATTTTATTAGACTTGAACAACTTCGTCATACTACTAAAGTTGAGCATTTTGAAGGGAAATCCTATGTATTAGAGGGAATACATAGAAAACGAGCATAAATCTGTATAGTTTAGAAAATACTTTTAAAATGTATAGTATATAGTAGGGTCCTTTATGTATTTTTGGGGTATACTTGGACCCCATTTGGGGTTTACATAGGAGGCGGTAGGGTTTTTAGGGTTTAATTAGAGTAATTAAACCCCAGACATACATAAACATACTTAGAGTTGGTTTGGGGTTTCCTTAGGGTTTAGGGTTTAAATAGGGTTAGATTAGAGTAATTAAACAACATACTTAGAGTTGGTTTGGGGTTTCCTTAGGGTTTAAGGTTTTAATAGGGTTAGATTAGAGTAATTAAACCCCAAACATACATAAACATTCTTAGAGTTGGTTTGGGGTTTTGCTTAGGGTTTAGGGTTTAAATAGGGTTAAATTAGAGTTACTTAGGTTCAAAAAAATGTTCAAAATAACCTTCAATTCCTAGATAACCAAACAACATTGGTTACATAAATCATCCAAAGTCTCAAACCAAAAAAACCTTGAGATTATCCTAGAAAACCAAACAACACTTGTTCTAAAAATACATATTCCAAAATCCTAGCAAACCAATCACATAGGAGCATACTCATAATCAATCGTCTTCAATGTCATAGACTTCAGAAGTCTCAAATTCCGAAGGCACATGCTGCAGCATAAGCTGAATTAAAATGGGATCTTGAGTAGCCTCCCATATATCCACAGCAATCTTCTGTCGACAACCCATGATGATTTCATCATCAACAAGACCGAGATCTAGACCAAGCAAGAGGCATTCCAAGTGTTTGAGTGCATACGCCCCACAATCCGCACAAGACTTGTTCAACCTAGACTTCAAAGGAATGTCGTGGATGGTGTATTTTTCCAGCAGAAGGTGCTTCTTCTCTTCAGGAGGAGCAACAGCTTTCACTATGCATGGAATCATCACAGAAAACTTCTCAACGTGTTGTCTATTCTTCCTTGAAAGCAATCATAAACATCCACTCTTTTCTCAATGATGTTCACGCACACTGCAATCCAATGGTTACCTACACATGACATTGATAAAGTTGTTAAAAATGAGAGGCAGAAATAGATACATGATGAGGACGAAGTGTTTACCATTCACAAACAATGGGAAGTACACTTTATCAACATCAACACCCCAAGTTTTGTTAGTCCGCCCATAAGCTGGAAGCTCTCCTCTATCGTAAGCAAGAAGAAAATCGGGCAACTGATACTTCTTTTGTTACAAGTAAACTTGCGATATGCTGTGTCGATTTGGAGGCAGAACGTAGCTGTCATGAAAGCAATGCGGTCTACGTTCCAACGCCGCAGAGATGTCTTCTCTCGCCACATATACATAAACGCATCCATTTCCTGAAAGCAACACAAGAACATCAATCAAATACATCTTCAAAATCCTATTATACCACTCAACAAAACAACAATTAATACCTCATTTCCAAGCCATTTTCCAGCTGCAATAATCCGTGTAGCTATGGTCATGTTGAAGGCTGTAGGACCAATCCGTAAAGTTTTTGGATTCATAGACCATTCACTGAATCTGGTCCATGTGTCTTCTGCAACATAATACAACAGGGACTCCGGAGAAGCATCTTGAGGAAGTGGTGAATCACTGAGCTGGAGTGTTTTAACTCCTCCTTTGTACCACTTCTCCCACCTTGTAGGCGGTGGAGCTGAACTTCCTTCCTTTGCCACAGTTACTGGAGATCGAAGTGAAGTCAATGGAGTCCAAAAATCACGTGTCCCGTCTTCCCTATTGGTCTGCGATGGATCAAATCCGGGCACAAATGATGCCTGACAAAGCCCTTCTACGCCTTGGGTACCTATCTCTGCATCGAAGTCCATATATACTCCGTCACTCAAACTGCCATCCTGCTCATTCAAAATACAAAATGATCAATTAAATAAGTTATATGTTCACAACCATAAACACAAAAGCATCAATTATATAATTTATAAGTTCACAAAAATAAGCACAAAAGCATCGATTAGATAAGTTATAAGTTCACAAACTTACAAACAAAGCACACTTAAAAACAAACCCAAAAGAAGACAATATCAAACACAAGATAGTTCATGACAATACATAGATGACACTAACACAAACAAAGTTGCAAAATCATACAATAAACAAGCAAAATAAACATTTTAGAGTGGTAAGACTAGTGTGTCTTTACCACACGCTCGGATCTCCTTAGAGTTGGCTTGCTAGGTGATGGCATGCTTGTGGTCGCCTTGCTTGCCGATGGCTTGCTTGGGAATGACTTCCTCGGGGAGGCCTCTCCATGATCAAGTTGACCTCCTCCAACCTTAAGTGACCTTTTAGCTCAGACTGCATCTTCTCAAATCTCTCAGCCATCTGTTTCTGAAGCCTATCTTCCATTGCTTCAATATTTTGCTGAAATAACTGCGCCATCCAAGTCTTCATATCTTCACCAAGGGGAGCTTGCTGTGGTCTAGCAGAGAGTACCTTATGCTTCATTTTTTCCATACCACGATCCAAGAGCCTCTTCTTCCCTTTCCTAGCCGAAGAGTCACTGTCTCTTGACTGTTTTGGAGTTTGAAAGTCCTCATCAGTCTCAGCTTCTTCACCATTCTCTGTTACTTTTTCAGACTGAGTAACTTCATCATCCTCTCCTTCTTTGTCATCTAGCTCTAAAGTAAGCTCTATTGTGTCTTCTTCGAACTCCCAAATATGACCACTGAAGTCGTGGTTATTCATTATCATCCGCTTCAGAACATTGATTCTATCATCCTCTACCTCATCTTCTCTTATAAATTCAGCTTGCTCAACAACAACATAATCCCCTCCCCAAGAGATGTATGGATAAACGACATCGTACAAAAGAAAGGTTGACAAAGTTAGATACTTATAACTATTTTAAAACCTATGAATTCAATTTGTCGAAATGAAATACTAACCTTTGCTGTAAAGATATTCTCCAACTGAATGATCTCCTCGTATGAGACTTTTTCAGCTCCCATCCAGTTAATGCATCTAGGACCATCACGAAAACTTTTGTCAAGTTTTTTTCCACAAAGCTTTCCAATCTTTGGCACTGCTTCCATTGCCCAAATCTGCAAGGCGTAGGAGAAGCCATCTAACACATGATTTAAGGTCTTCGTCTTCAGTTTATCACGCGTCTTGGCTACTGATTCGCAGAGAAGATCAAATGCAGCAACTCCCCAAGGATACCTACGAAGCTTCTCGAGATCCATGACCACCTTGGTGTATTTCAGAGGGATATTTGCCTTCTCACCTCTGGCGCAAACCACATAAACAATGATGCATAAATACACCAGCCTAATGCGATCTACTTTACGCCACTTCTTCACATATTCCCTGTGTTGCTTCCACAACTTCAACATACTCATTCCCTCTTTTTTCTTCAGCACTTTGCTCCAGAAACCACCATCATCTTTGTAGTCATCAAACTCCTTCATTGAGATACTGGTTTTGCACTGAAGTCCCGTTATTGCGTGGAACTCTATCAGTGAGAATCTGAGTGGCCTCCTCGCAAAGGTAAACCAAAGCTCCTTTATACGGTAGGTCAACAGCTCCCTACACAAGAAGCTGTGTATCATTCTCTCGGAGTATCCCAAACCATTCTCGTGCAGCTTAAAAATCTGAGCGAAAACCCAATCTTTCTTCACGACCTCGAATTCCTTTGGCAGCCACTCCTTCAGCATTCTCATGATGTACTCCAACCTGCAGTTGTTATTGATCTGAGTCACTTGGGTCTCCTCACCCTCCTTAAAAAGCCGCTTTGGTAACTCCTCTGACATACCTGCAAGTGAAGACAAAAGCCTATGATGAGAACACAAACAAAGAAAGAACATAAACTTATGTTATGATTTCACACCACAACAAAATCGATCTCTCACAATTCACAAGCTACATCCTAATCCCTAAACAAAACTTACCGACACCAACTACTAAAGTACTGCAAGACCCGAGCTCTAACCCATTCAAACAAATTCTAAATCGATCCTCATAAACATAAAAATCAATTCAATAACATGCAATTGTCGATTTTGTTAATCAGATGATTAAGGAACCCAAACAACTAATTTAGGTTTAAGAAAGTTGAAAAATTGGGTTTTTAGGATAATCTAGGGTTAGAACTTGAACCCATTCAAACAAAAACTAAATCGATACTAATAAACATAAAAATCAAATCGATAACATGCAATGCTCGATTTTGTTAATTAGATGATTAAGGAACCCAAACAACTAATTTAGTATTAAGAAAGATGAAAAATTGGATTTTTTAGGATAATCTAGGTTTAGAACTCGAATCACTTACTTTGATATTTAAACGTCACCGAGCTGCTGGAATTGAAGGAAGAAGACTTCGATTTTAGACTCCGGTGAAACAGGTTCTTGTGTTCGATTTCCTTGAGAATAAAGAGGAAGATGAAGAGAAAGAGAGAAGGCTTTGACTATGGCTCTATCTCCGACGAGGACCAACGGAGGAGAAAAATTTCGAAGATGAACCCTAAATCGCCATTGAAGGCTTCGACTAAGGTTCGGCAGAGAAGAGAGTAAAAGAGAGACGAGTGTTTTCTTGGGAAATTGGGCAAAAGAGTTTTTAACTTTAACTTAATTTTTTTAATTTTCCTTTTATGTTAATAAATCATTTACGAAAATACATATATATAAATCTATTTTTAAAGTTTGTAAATTTGAGGGGTATTATGGTATTAAAGAAGTTCAAAATCCTATTTGACTAAAAAATGCTCTACAAATCCTATTTGCCCAAATTTTAGTTCAAAGTGTCTCTTTTTTCCAATTTTCCTTTTTTTTTTTCTTTCACAACATATGTCTACATTTTACTTGTCCACAATCACTTAATCACAAATTTTTTTTCTGTTTTCCTATGTTTCCATCACGTCATTTTAATTTTAGTTCATCAATTTGTTAGTACCCTTAGAATTTGGTAGATCGCAGAGTTAGTTTTACAGTGTTAGCGTATACTCCTTTTATTTTATTTTTTGAATGATATACTTTGGTACAGCATGTGTTACTTTGATTTTTACTTTTTCAGAGGAAAAAAAAAACAAATGATTACACTATGTTCCCACAGATGCAATCTAGACTTGAAAGGCTTTTTCCAGTCTCTTCTCTTGGTTCTTATGAGACATAATCCTGGTTTTGATCATCTTGTCGATAGTTCTGAAGAGGCTCTCCAGAAGCTGAGGGTTTTCCAGAGGCGTATACCCTTTTATTGATCTTGATTAGTGATGTTAACACATAAAGAGTGATGGTGTTAAACCACTGTAATGATTATATGCGTGTTATCTATAAATTAAGATTACTTTTATATACTTGACTATGTAGCATTATAGCAGCCACCACATGAATGACTTTTCCTTATTTCTGAGGTTCCAAAGGCACGACCATCTCTGTGTTTATCGTTGTGTTTCTTCCAGTTATTCAATGGTTTTTTCTCCATTATGCAAGAACATGGTGGTCTGCTATAGGAAAAGAGATTAGACACGTGTTGGCAGGAGAGGGAGTCACTGAAGTTCGAAATTAGCCGAACACGTGTCAGCTCATCAACGGGAAGTTACAAAAGTTGTTAAGCGGGAGAAAACAAAGTCTTTTAAAAGGAGGAAGAAGATCATTTTGTAGTTTTTATCCAGAAAATTTTTATGAACTTCTCTTGAATCTTTCTGAGTTGTGTGATTTCGTTTCATCATTACTTTTGAGCTTTTTCTACTTGTAAGCTCTTGGTGTGGTGAATTCGATTCTTTGTAATTCAAACACTGAATCGAGTTTTAAGGAGTTCTATATTGATCTTGAGTTTTGCTGTTACATGGTCCTAAATCCTAAGGGATCCAATGGAGGAAGAATAAGATGTAGAACATTTGCAGATTTGAAGAAGATGATATTTGATCAACAAAAGAAACAACGGAAAAAGAGAATGATGTTCATGTATATCGTGATGGTGCAAAACCCACAAGTAGAGATGGTGCTCATACAACGTGGGCTTTGGAAGTCAGGGAATTTGATGAAAGTTGATTATGGTTCTGATGATGATGAGGAGATATTTATATAAGGAAAACCCCGTGAGCTCAAATAAAAGAACTCGGTTTCTAATGATCGAAAAAATCCAACCGAGATTTTCATTGATATGATGACCTGCAACGAGTACTGATTTGGGAATCGAAATTTGCACTGTCAATTTTCCGGCAAATATGGAAACTTAGGAAAAACCCTAATTCTCCCTAGGTCCTGGATCTTTGTGGAAATCACTAAAACGAAAAAGATAAACAAAACACAGATGAAGAATTTGCGTAAAAGCTTTTATTGATAAATAGATTGAATGCTGTTACAAAGAGAATCGTGGAACTTAGACGACAAAACGGTCTAAGGATCCGACTTGCTAGTCTAGCCACCTAAGTCCTAAATTCGCCTCAGCTAACAGCCGTTTTTCTAGGTCTAGAATTCGTCCCCGTGCTCTGTCCTTGGCCTTCTGCTTATATACTCCCTCCTTAGGCGGTTTAGTCCTTCCTTTTCGCTCAGATTCGAGTTTATCGGGAATTTTCCATTTTTCTCAGTATTTCCATTTTCTTTGCGGAAATCTTCTATTTATCTTCAAACTTGACATTTATCTTCAAACTTGACATTTATCTTCTTTCTGCGAGTAAATCTTCAAACCGACATTGTATCTTTGGGCTGGATTTCTTTTAAAGACGCAAGTGGACTTTTATCGCGCTTTTGGGTTGTCCGAGCCGTTTTGCGATAAAAACCGTTTTACGATTTTATATGAGATCGTTTCCTGATACAATGCCGGTTTTTATAACATTTCTCGAGTTAATCAAGAAATTTTGGGATATTGTAAAGGATGATTTAACTCATATGGTAAATGAGTTCCTGTTTGAAGGTACAATACCTACTGGTCTAAATGATACCAATATATGTCTCATTCCGAAAGTAGATAAGCCGAATCAAATGTCTCAGCTACGACCCATCAGCCTTTGCAATGTTTGCTACAATATAATCTCTAAGGTCCTAGGCCAGAGGTTAAAGAAGGTTTTACCTGACCGGATTTCTGAAACCCAGTCTGCCTTTGTTGCTGGGAGACAGATATCTGACAACATTATGATTGCTCAGGAGTTGTTTCATGCTCTACAGACCAAACCAAGTGGACTTAATAAGAGGATGGCCATTAAATTGGACATGAGTAAAGCGTATGATCGCATGGAGTGGTCCTTCACCAAGGCTACCATGAGAAAGATGGTTTTTCGGAAATATGGATAACCTGGATAATGCGATGTATAACATCAGTAAAGTATAAGGTCCTTATAAATGGCCAACCAAGAGGTAATATTGTTCCGGAGAGAGGTCTAAGGCAGGGGGATCCCCTGTCCCCTTTCATTTTTATTCTATACACGGAAGCGCTCGTTAGCCTTCTAAATCACGCAGAGAATCAAGGAAAGATAACGGGGATGCGCATCACGCGTGCGTGTCCTTTAGTATCTCACCTTCTCTTTGATGATGATATCCTGTTGTTTTGCAAGGCGGAGCCCCGTGAATGTGAAGAAGTTATGAAAGTGGTCAGGAAATATGGACAAGCTTCAGGAGAATGTATTAATTTTGACAAATCATATCTACTCTTTGGTAAGAGAATTGGACTAGATGTGAGGCAAGAGATTAAAGACACACTTGGGATTCAGAACGAAGGAGGAATGGGAAATTACTTAGGAGTCCCAGAGGATATC